CAAGTTATAATTGTAGATGAGTAAAAAGTAGAATATTTTGGTAAAATTGCAAATTGTTCACAGGAGTCAGCTGAATATATTAGAACCAATAAATAAGTAGATGTACAAGAATAAGTATATATGTATTTATTTATCTTTATGAAACGAAGATGCGGACAGCCCGTTCAGATATTGTCCCAAATAATAAATCCGACCGAACTTTGAAACTTTACTGTCACGGTGTTTGTTTAAAGATTAATTAAACATATATTCTCCTTCTCAGCAGATGAAGAACACCACTGAACTTATCAATGACCTTGCAATTTTACGTTCAGAGTTTTACAGAAAAAAAGTACGACAAAAGAGAGGCCCAAATTAATTGACTGATCTTCTAATATAAACGGATATTTAATGTTGTAATAAATTTTTGCAGCTCAAGCTTCAAGATCCGAACAAAGTTCAATTAGTTGACGGACACCTGAAGCTGTTACAGAATTTGCTGCCTTGTTGAAATAATACTACCAAGCCAAATAGACCAGCTTGGTAACCAACTAGCGGTTGCTGTTGCTACGATGCTTCAGTGGCAGCAGTAGCTGTATTAGTGATAGAAGCAACAATGCAGTAGTAGTTTTGAAGGCTGGCAAACGGCTCCGGGTCCAGTTGGTGAGCAAAACGCTCACAATGTTGTTCAACAATTCATCAACTGCCTTGTCCCCCAGCTGACCAATCACTGAGGCCAATTGCGCCCGCCTCAAAAAAAAAATTAACTCCGCCCCTATCCGGGAGTCCCGGATCCGTGGCCCCCCGGCAAACTGAAACGAAAAACGGGAATGAAAGCAGCCAAGTGACCGACGGTCAGTACACACGATCGTACAAAGAAAGTCGGAGAGGACGGAGGGACGGAGGATTGGGAGGGGGAAAAAAAAGAACCCGATAACAGGGAGAAGGGAAAAGTCGTGACCAACAGCCACTCCAAAACAATAAACGCCCTTATTCTCCACCAAAAAAATCACCGCCGCTGTCGTCTGTTTCTTCCCGCACCATTTGCCGAAACAGCTCGAAAAAGTAAACAATAGCTATGGGGCTCTGAATTTCACGAACGAACGATGGACAACGCCGTCATCCTAAAGCTGCTTTTTGGTCTTCTACAGTCACCGTTCGCCTCCACCCCTGATGCCATTCCCTGTTCTCATCTTCCCGCTGTACCCGCCCGTTTACCTACCTTCCCATTCTTCTTCCTCCCTTGAACATCATTATTCCCCCTCCCTACTTCTCTCCATCACCCTCGAACTCCATCTTCAGTACAACTGTCATTTTTTCTGTGCCTGTCTGTATTCTGTAGCCAACAGCATTTTCTTTCAGCTCACTTTCCTGGCAACATAATATTTCATTGCTAGACTTTTTTCTTCTGAAGAAGAAGAAAAAATAAAAGGGCAATTTTCTCCCCTCCTTTTACTTCATCTAAAAACTAAACACCATAAAGACCATTTGCTTTTCACCCGGTTAGTGAGTGACAGTTTTTGAGCAACAGAAATCTGCTTTGACTTCAAAATCACTTTATTATTCGTTGTTCAGAATAGTGAAAACAAAACACCGTAAGTGTTCATCACGACTTCCAATCAGTCCCCGATAAATAGTTGCTTCAAAATTTTTGCTATTCTCACATTTCACAATGGTCGCTCCACCGAAGGTTTCACCAGTAACTGAGATTCGTTTACGAAACAGAAACGGTGTCGTTCGAGATCCCATTGTATTCGACCAAATCTTTTTATTTCTTTCTTCCATTTCTGAATCTTCAGTAATCCAATCTTGGCGTCCACAGTACTGCAGCAGTGCCATTTCAAAAAGCTGTCCTGAAGTGTTGAGGAAAAAAATATGATTATCAACAATGGCTGGCGATCGAACAAATGATGAATTTAATTCTGGCGACTTCAAGCGTCGAATAATACACAGCGGATCAATTCCGATCATATATATACTGGAATGCTGAGTAACAATGATTCCGCAACTATCGCCATTGATCAGCACCGGTGAAGCAAATACAGGCTCATCAAGTTGAATAACATTGTCATCCTGAAAAGCAATGAAAAAAGCAGTTCCAACTACAAAAATCAATATTAATATGTTGTAATGATGAAGAGGAAGAAAGTTATAGCACAGATCCAGGAACAAAAGATCACTGGTAAAAAACAGTTGTCATGAAGCCGATATGACAAATCGGTAGGACAAAAAAAAAAAAAAAAGCCGACTACAGTTCTCAGAAATTTTTATAGAAATCATGCAACATTATAAATTCTTAAGTCAATGCTGTCTAGGTTTTTCGTTTCGAGATTTCAGCGGATGTACAGAAAGGTAACAGAGGGAGGAGGAAAGGAGGCTGAAAAAATTGAACGCTCTCTGTGTAGACAAATGGAATTAGATTCCGGATCATCGTGGAACAATACAGTGTAATCGTATTCCGGATTTGTTCACTAAAGAAATTCTTCCACAAAATGGTACACTCCAAGTAGTTTTAATGTGGTTGCAACGGCTCCGAGTTCCTGGTCCTGTCGGTGCTACTGCCTGTTGTCCGTCTGCAGTTATATTGATGGCAACCTATTCAAGC